AGCCAACAACTGCAGGCACATAAATTTAGATGGATGAATCTGGAGCTGAAATCCAACCCCAATACCCATTCAAAGTCTAAACTGAAACCATCAGGCTAAACTTGCCTGAATCTGTGTTGCAATCCAAGATAGTTACATTCTACCATTGTAATACCTCTTACCAGGTGCCACATGAGCTCCACATATAGGGTCTGTGTTGGAGGAGGCTGCCAGTAGATTCTGATCTAAAAGCTGACTTAGCCAGCAGTGAGGAAATTTATCCAGTTCAGAAGATTTTGTGGTGATGGAAATGAATGCATCTCCCTCTATTGAAGTGGACAGGGCCAGGACAGTGAAGCATACCTGCAGTTATGCTGCAGTTTCCCTAATTCTCAGCCATCAGTCTTATCCCTTTTTCATGGCTGGTGTAATTTGGAAGGAATCTCCTTTAAGATATGGACTGGAGACTTCAAAATTCACTTCTGCAGCTCACGCAAGATATTTGCCCCTTGCTCTCTGTGTGCAAGTGGAAATCTAGACCCAAAGTTGTTGGCCTCAACAAGTAAGCTGTACACTGCTAAAACCCAGCTCAGGCTGACAGGTACTTACAGACTCTGAACTCTCTTCTTCCTGGTTAGTTTGTGTCCCACTCTCGAGGCAATTGCTTGCTTCATTCTCCATCTTTGAAAGTCTGGAAAACAGAAGAATCCAGTAACAAAGGATTTGGCCAATAGTTAAATTGTGACTGTTGAAGGATTTCATCCAAGTCCTTCTAACATCAAGAAAGAAAAACCTGAAAGTACAGACATGCAGGAAAGTTTGCACAGTCATCTAACACAGAACACCTAGCATGTATATTTAATTACAATGGATGTGCAGGTGCAGAGAAAGACAATGATTCAGTCCACTGTCATCAATCTTTGATACAGTCCAAAACTGCTAATCCTCTGCAAATGGGTCTGTTCACTGAACCCAATGATTAATATTGCCTCTACTTTCCTTTGATCTTTATAGAGGCTGAAATTTCTAAGAATCATTTGGCTATGGCTCATTACCTCTTCTAGGAAGACCACGCAGAAACAATTACTGTGACAATAACCATCATAAGCACTGTCCAGGAAGTCTTACTGTCTCTGCAAACTATGGACTTGGAACAGCTACTGCTTAGGCAATTCTCCATGCCTGAACAGCCATGCTGATACATTTATGACTGAGCTGAGAAGAACATTTATGCAGGTCTCACCAGAAAAACTCTCTTAGGTAAGTGTGGAATTAAACTTTTGGGAAGCATTTCTAAGGAGCTTTTCCAAGCTCACATCCCTAAACGTAGCCTACCAGTACCACCAAGAGGGCTGCAATATCTGTTCAGTACAAAGTGATGTGCTTAAGCCCCACGCGTAGACGATTCATACAACAGCAAATAATGAGAGGAATGAGAAGAACATTCTCATCAGCTAGTCCTTGATTTGTTTCACATCACCTGTGGAAAGTTCAAAACCATGGGGCAACAGGTAATTTGTCTAGATCTGTGCTACGATAGGAAGTAATAAGACAGACAAGGTTGTGCTCACAGAACATAATGTGGTTTACCCCTATCAGAGCTGCGACAAACACGATTACTAGTGAGTGCTCAGGAAACTGCCCATCCAGTTCACACTGATAGTTCACTCTGATCAGGCCCACAGTTGGGAACTCCAACAGACTTGAACGTAAACAGATTAAAACTTTGCAGTGCACCTAATCCGTACCTTTCTTTGTGATCCTGCAGCTCCTTCTCAAGTTTTTCCCTCCTCTCAGTTTCATTTCTAAGGCAGCAGAGTAACTGGCTCACAGTCAGCTCCTCAGATTCCAAATTCTTGGACTCATCTGCAGATTTGCTCCTGCTTCAAACCAAACCACATGTAAGTAACAAGTTATGATGTTATTAGAGCACTCTCTTACCCCTAATTTTTGGGCAATTTCACACAGTTCTGAAAAAATCAACATTCTGTGCAAAGAGCTCGTTCCCAAGAAACGTGATCATCCTGCAGCCTGCTAGCCTAAGTCCTTAAGCATGTAAACACAGCCCTTGCTTTCTGCAGTGCTCAAACAGCCTCTTTTTATCAAGCTGGGAGAACAACTTGGAATTCAAGAAAAAAATAAATAAAAACAGTCAAGACAAAACAAAGCTTGGAGCATTTATTCTGACCTACTGTGCGTCTCCTTCTGCTAAGTGCTATTACCTGGTCCCAAAATATTTTTTCCAGTGAAACATTTCTTATCTCAGTTTCATTCCTTTCCAGGAAAAGAAGGCACGTTCCACTAAAAATGGGCATTGGAAATTGCTTCCTTTCTCAGAAGGAATTCCTTTGATATTTTGCTTCCATCATATTCTGTAGCTCTTTTGAAAAATCGCACGTGCTACCACAGAAATAAACCAAACCAATTACAAAACTCTGAAATACAGGGTCTGTTGATTTCCTGGTGATACCATACTGCATTCTGTTCCCTCCACTTTCACGTCTACCCGGACAGAAGGTCAAAATCCCCTAACTATAGGATAAGATACATAGGTTACACACATTGTATATTTCAAAAGCTCAGCTGGGAAACAGCATTTATGTACAACTTTGTTTTTGTAGTTCAGAGCAGAAACTAAAGCACAGGCCTGCATATTCTCCTGTGAGCTATATACATTTGGTGAGCAAAATTCAATACCCCAAAGAGAATGCTCAGCCAAGACATCTTAAGCAAACAGCTTATATGAGGGGAGTTTTAGTGTACAGGTCTACAATTACAGCAATAAACCCATCCCGAGTGGATCACATTCCTCTGAAGCTGTTAACAGCACCACTCTAAGGTTTCAGTGGTGCACAGAGACACATGGTGACACAGGAAATAGTGTAAGAGATATTTATACTCTCTGTTTTTGTAGACATAGTGCAAATACTCACCAAAGGGGAAGCAAATCCCACAGACAACATCTTAAGATCAGAGTGTTCTCACAGGCCACTTCTGATGACAATTCGAATGCTTGCAGCCTGGCCTATGTTCAGCATTCCTCTGTTACACCCCTGACTATAGCTATTTTTTTTCCTTCAACTTCTTAACTTCATGGTGAGGGACAAGTCTTCTATGTTATTAAAATGCTGAATTTCTTTGCAATGAGGTAGGGGGTGACAGAGCTTAAGGGAAAACATACACAGAACATAGCTTTCTCTCTGCTATGCCCTTTGAATTTTCTATATCCCCCCTTTCCAAAAGCAAAGGCCATGAAGTGGATTAGGAGTGTTCAGCCACAACCATCTAGCTCTTAAATTGGGCAGTATCCAAAATGGAAAGTTTAATGGTGTCAGCTGTCTGTGTCCACGAGGTGTAAAGTTTCAGCTAGGGGCAAGAAAGTGCCTTATGCCCTGGAGCTGATGTAAAGATCAAATTTTGAGAAGTAACTGAGACAGAATGCTCACATCTTATGTCTAGTCACCTAAAAAACAATGACAGTGCACTATCTGCCCACCACATCATGATTTAAACCCCACAGTTTATACCAAAGACTAACAAATTGAGCAAGAAGGATTCAGGTTTGAAAGGCCACAAGAACTCTGTTATGAACATCATTATAATTGAGTAGAGGACAGATACTGTAATAGAGTTCAGAGCGACTACATGTGTGGGAGCCTTTATCTTTCCTTTTTGGACTACATTAAAAACCTGAAAAGTAGCAGCCAGTTGGAAGTCAGTGCATGCTCCGACCAGTTGTACATGCTGTCCTGTCAGCCAGTGGAAGCAGGAAGGCAAAATTCCTGAGAGCTGAGTGTCTTTCCAACATGGTAGGAAGGCAGAGCAATGGAGGGATGCAAGGCCTCAGAAAAACCAGGAGTGACGTTGCTCAAAGAAAATGCTTCCCTTACATTGGGAACAACACACTGCAGAAGTTTGAATCAGACAAAAACCTACATACATGTAGACAGCGATGTTAGTGGCCATTTCACTGCTATTATCTTGATTTTCTTTTGCAGTTCTATTTACTTCTTCCTAAAAAAGAAAAAAAATCCCCCCAAAATATTAGTTTGGTATTTGAACTAAGAAGGGCAGTTTTACTTACTGAAGAAAGAAAAACAGGAAGAACTACAATAAAAAACAAAACACAGAAGTCCTACAGATCAGTTTAATGTTTGCAAATTCTTAACTTACATATCTCACATGCCTTTCCCTGCATCTTTTCAGGACTGATTAAAGAATATGAACAACAAGATTAGGCCTTCTCTTTCAAATCAACAAACCTCCCCAGTCAGTTTCTCTTATAACGATGACACAGCAACAGTAATCACCACTGCCAACAGATGTTGAATACAGCTTCTCTTTCCCACTGCAAAGCTCACCCTGTGATCTTCAGAGTCCAAAGGAAGATCTTTGTAGCAGAAAAAGGAGAAGCATCCTGGAAGCTTTCCTGCAGTCTGAAGTTTTCTCTAACAATTCCAACTAAATGTTAAATTCTGTGATTTTCCTGTTGCACTTATCCTTGCCAGAGAGGGACGTGCTATTGTGAAGATAACAGAAACCCTCACTTTCACATTTCACCTATTTCCTCTCAAGACTTCTCAGATACAAGAACAGTAGAAAAATAATATTTCTGTGCCTTTAGGGAACACTCTACAACTTTAGATTTTTATTTGCTTGACTGCACCTGTGTATTTCTGCCAGCAGAGAAAGGAGCCCCATTCTTCATGAGGGGAGCGGAGGGACTGCACTGAGCTCTGCTCTCTGGTGACATGACAGGGTGCAAGGGAACGGCATGGAGCTGTGGAAGGGAAGGGGCGTGAGGAAGAGGCTCTGCACCAGAGGGCAGTGGGCCTGGAACAGGCTGCCCAGGGCAGTAGTGACAACTTCAAGCTGCTGGAGTTCAGGAAGCATTTTAGACAATGCTCACAGACATAGGGTTTATATTTTGAATGGTCCTGTGTGGAGCCAGGAGTTGGTGTCTGACACCTTCCAACTTGGGACATTTTGAGACTGTATGGGAACTGCTGAATCACAGCCTAAACCTCTGATTGACCACCTGAGGTGAGCAATGAGTCAGCCAGGGCAGCACAGGTGAAAGCAATTCAAGGTGAAGCCTTGCTCCACCTCTCCCAGACCCCATTTAAGAGCTGACTACCAGTAGGAAAGGATCACTTTTGAGGATTGCTCCTCTTGAAGTCTTCTCAGTGAGCCCAGGACAAGGGTAAGCGTTCTATCCATTCTTCTTTAGTGTGATAACTTGTTTAGCACAACTTTCTTGTATGTTTCTTAATTATAACAACCATAAATTCATTGATTATACAGTGACTCTATGAAAACTTACTTTGGGCAAGGAAAGTGAAAGAACAAAAGTAAATTCTCTAGTCCTTTATCACTAAGTCTTGTAAAATACAGGTGTTCTACATCAGGTAAGATCATGAAACACTTCTTCCTTCTTTTCTTTACAAGGAGAGTGGTTAGGCCCTGGAACGGGCTGCCCAGGGAGGTTGTGGATGCCCCGTCCTTGGACGTGTTCAAGGCCAGGTTGGATGGGGTCCTGGGCAACCTGATCTGAATGTGTACGTTTGGTGGCCCTGCTAGGCAGGGGGGTTGGAACTACATGATCCTTGAGGTCCCTTCCAACCCAGGTGATTCTGTGATTCCAGATTCACTGTGTCTGTATTTTTGTGTTACTACTGTTGCTGGCAGTTTAGTATTCCTTCTCAAAGAGGCAAATATGTAAGTGTATATATATAATTACTGTTTGTATAGATTCATGCTTCTTACTAATGGAAGACAAGTCTTCACTGTAAAAAAGCATTTGGGTAAATAACCACACCATCATTTTAATCACTCTCAGACTCAACTTTCTCATCAGTTAGCATGGCACAATAAGAAAACCCAATTTGCAAAAAGGACCAACTTGGGAACAGAGTTTCTGGCTGCAGCTCACCATGTCCATTTTGTTCCCTTTACTTACATTCATCCCAATCTCCACAAAGGAGTCTTCTGCTGAGGCGATGTTCAGCTTGACCTGCAGTTCTGAAATGATGGCTAACAGATCTGCCTTCTCAGCCTGCAGCCGCTGCACCTTAGACTTGAGCTGCCTCGCTTCCTTCTCAGGAGCTGCACAGCCCTCCTGGGATAAACAAACACCTGCATTAACCAACCAAAATGAAACAGCAGCCAAGGAATGCAGAGCCTGAATAACAGTGGCATTCCATTGCTCTTCTTCTGTTTTGAAGTTTGCCTGGGAAAATCCAGTACAGAGATCTCTAAAATGCTTTGGTTCACCGGACAACAAGAAGTTGCATTTGTTGTTGTGCATTTGTTTCTTCCCCATTTTGTAATCCAAGCCTCCTTGTAATGTTGTAATGCTTTAATACACCATACACCCTCAATATCAACTCTGAATAACTCATGCAGCTCAAATGACATTCTAATCTATCACTCATGCCAAATCTAAATTTGTGCTACATTGACAGTGTCTCCTGTTGCAGTACTCCCATACACACCTGAGTCACTATGATTCTGTGCTCAAGCTGTGAGAGGACGCAAAAGAAGTCAGCTTCAGTGCATAGGAGGGAGTTTTATATCCACCAGGGCTCCCAGATGTATGGTTTTAAGATAAACCCTCCTGTGAGTAATAGTTTTTCACTGAGGGAAGCAACAGTACGTATCTGTGATTTCCTTTGAGTGAAACAAAGGTGCCACTCAATAGCAACAATAGACTATAATCCATCTCAGTAAACAGTAAAACACAGAGGAGAGAGAAATCAGACCAATTGTAGCTAGCCTCTTCTAAGTTCAGATAAATATTTTTTAGTGTTTAGAAATAATAATAAAAAAGAAAAAAAAAAAGGAATTAAGGTATGGCCAAAGCATTCAGTAGAGAAATTTGTTGTGGCTTAAATGACACTGTCAGTCTGAACATCGTGATCAGAAATGAGAATGTTTTTGTCTTAATTACCATGACCACTAACTGGTTAAACTGCAAAGAATCAACAAAGAACCAAGGCTTACTTTATGGAGCTCTTACAGATGAGATAATTAAAAGATTTATTTTTACTTGTCTGGACATTGGATTGCTCAAGGAGATTGGATCACTCCATCAATAACACACTTAAAGTATCCAAAGCACAAGAAGTTCCAAAGTAGGTATGGGCAGAACAAGTACCCCACTTTCCTTTAAAATCTATTCTAGATTTATGAAATTCTGAACTTCCTTGACAATCCTGAAAAACAACTTTTAGCCTGGTTTCCTAACAAAGCCATACTTGCACAATCACACTGTTTATACACGACCTTTTTCCCCTTAATAACTTTCGAACCAATTGGCCAATTCCAATTTATATCCTGAAAGAATTCTTACAGGGTTCCATAAAACAAGCACACGAGAGGAAAAGACAGCCTATCAACAGCCATGGAGAAAAAGGCTGAGACAGTCATCCTTCAATGGGCAACAGAGAACCCACATGAGTTCTGAAAGTACCACGTGCCAGGATTCACTGACTTAGCGCTACATGAAACTTGTTGTTAAACATCTCTTCACGTGTGGGACATAAAGTAGGTTTTGTTCTACCAGACTTTGTTGTGTCTTTGGTACTGCTGGCAAACTGATGCTACCTGGATGTTAAGCACTCACCTGCAGTGTTAGAAACTACCTGCTACAGAGCCAAAGGTACGACAAGGGGGGAAAGCTCAGCCAGAAAAGGAGCAGCTGAAGAACAAATCTAATCTGAACCTCAATAAAAAGGCTTTCAGAATAGATGAAACATATAATAGAACTTTTTTTTTTGGGTGGTGGCAGGAGTTACATGACATGTAACTCATGCTTGACATGTAACTATGCTTGACTCTAGAAACACAAATATAAAACTATGCTGAGAGAGATAATCTAAGAAGGAAAGGGAGGGATTAAGTCAACCCCATAATAAACAGGATGCAGAATGTGAAGTTGGCAAGAAATGTTAATTTATTTCTTATGTTGATAGTGTTAATGATTACTGTTAATTATTAATTGAAATATCAGTTGTCTCATGTGTGACATGTTGTTATCTTACTGCACCAAAAGACTTGCTTTGTAAAATAAGTCCCAGACTTTTCATTAGAGTATAAGGATAAAAAAGGAGAACGCTAACAGAACTCGAGCCCTCACCCATAAAAGATCCTAACATTCATTGTTAATGTATGTCAATTCATCTTTCTCTTATTTACCATTTCAGCTCCTTCTTCTCTTTCCTTTAAGCTCTGAAGTTGTTGCTGCAGCTGCTCATTTTCAACACACTTGGCAAGCAAGCACTGCTTGGCTTCTTTAAACTTGGTCTCGTAAAATTCTCGTTCTTCCTTTTGCTTCTCCCGCCAGATGGAGAGCTCCTCGTAGCGGTCCTTCATTGCTTGGTTGTGCAACTTCATCGCTTCTAAACGACAGCCAGAGACAAATCATTGATTCACATCAGTACTCTGCCAATGAAACAGCAGATTTCCTCTACATCGAGCTCAGCCTTCTTCAATATCAAAGGGACAAGCAGCAATCAGATATGAAATGCAAACCACCTTCTCATATCTCTCAGTGAACTGAAATGAAACTCATCATAGCTCTTTAGCACTATAATAAATACCACTAAAACCACTGCTGAAATAACATGCTCACACTCTCTCGCTCCTTGACTTCTAAACCAAGAAGTACAAGCAAGAAGTAGTGCCCACAAGAAGTACTCGTCATCTCGCACGTGTTATGTACACAGTCAACACAAATGAAACTACTGAACAAAGATTCTGAAACTACTGAGATTCAGTAGGGAAAGTGTATTTTCTAGAGTTGTAAATTAATGCATGAAAACAGCTGCTATTAAATTGAAAGTCTCAAACATGTCCAACCATGTTCTGCTTGAATATTCAGTTAAGATTTGACTAAAAGCACTAACAAAAATCTAACTGGCAACTTAGAGCAATATCATTTCATCCTGACTGGGAAGCCAAGTGTATGTAACAAAGTCAGTGAGTCAGTATGCAGCAACTCCAGTCTCACTATTGCAAAATGCTGACAAGATCTTTATGAAGCCAATGAATGTATTTTAGATTTGGTTTTTAAAGTAACAAATTCAAAGTCAGTAGCTTGAAAGTCTTCTATATACATTGTATCTTCCAGAAACAGATGTTATGTCTTCACATCATATAATAAATTGTCAAAAAGTCCTTCACATAACCAAAAAGCAAAGGTAACTCCGGAGAATGATCCTGTGAGGCATGAGTTACAGCAGCTGTGATTGTTGTCCTGGAACGTTATCTTGAATGCTACAGAGCCTTGTAGTAGAATAGCTAGGGTGCTTCCGGAAGCAACCTTCCTGCCAGATAATCATAGCTATATTATCTAAAAGGTGTTAATCGTTATGTGTTTTCAGGGAAACCTATTGGTTTCTCCCAGACAGGCTCAGCCATGGATGCTACTTTGCAGCACAGACGGTGCTGCAACATCTGAACTTTCAAAACAGTTACTACACAACAGCACAGGACAGCCTGCTTCAATTCCCTTCTCTGTGAGGATACAGCTCCTTTCAGAGAGCATCCTAACACAACTGTACAGTACCCACCCTGCTGATGCAGCCATGGCAAACTGTTAATCTGTAATGGGGAGACCTGACTAAGATACAAATCAAAAAACCTTTTCAAATCTGATGATTGAAGAGCATATTTTTACCTTGCCTCCCAAAATACACAGCACTATATTGATTGTGTATGTAGTTTTGAAGCTTAGGGGGTATTCTCACTCCAATCTTCCATACCAATTCAATGTGCTGTGCCCTATCAAATCGGCCTTACTTGCAGAGTTGCTTAAGAGTGACTGCCAGTCAGATATAAAAGATTATCTAGAAAGACCAAATGAACACAGAACTCATAGATCAAAAAGAGATTTGGACCCACAGAAGAGACTGATTCACATTCACCTTTTAACTCGTTGTTCTCAGTGATCAGCTCTTTCATCTGCTGTACCATCTCTTCAGGTGTGTAGGTACTGAGGGTGGAGGGAGCCACACTGTCCACTCCATTCTCCATTTTACTCCTGCAATGCTCTCCATTTTCAGCAGGACGGATCTGTGGCTTGCTGGACATCTCTGCAGTGACCACTACAAGGTCAGCAAAGAAAATGTTTTGCTAAATAAATCACAGAATCATTAAGGTTGAAAAAGACCAACAAGATCACCTAATCCAACAACAGTCAACCCACCACCACCGTGTCCATTAACCCATTTCTCTTACACTTTTTGAACACCTCCGGGGATGGAGATTCCACCCCCTCCCTGGGCAGCTTGTTCCAATGCATCACCACTCTTTCTGAGAAGAAAACTTTCTAGTATCCAACTGGAACCTCCTCTGGTGCAACATAAGGCCATTTCCTCTCATCATATCGCTGCGTCTTGGGAGCAGAGGGCAACCCCTACCCCCCATCACAACCTCCTTCAGGCAGTTATAGAGAGCAGTAAGCTCTCCCCTAAGCCTCCTCTTCTCCAGATGAACAATCCCAGCTCCCTCAGCTGCTTCACACCTCTCAGTACTTTGCTGCCTTTCTCTGAACACACTCCAGGTCCTCTCGTGAGGAGCCCAAAACTGAGCACAGTACTGAGGTGCGGCCTCAGCAGTGCTGACAGGGACAGAACATACAGCCATACTTTGGTTTTACCCAAAGACACAAGCTGCACCCGTAGCCAGCACACAGACCATCCAACCCTCCGACCCCACTACACCAGGCCACCCATGGCCCTATATAACGTGTTAACCCCTCAGAGGTGGGCATGGGTTTGACTCCCAGCCCACCTTTCAGACGGCGCCTTTCCCTGGCAGACCCACCCTCTGAGAAAAACACGCAAACAGACCCCTCGGTTCCCTTCTCTCCGTACCCAGCAGCGTCCCACAGAGGCACTGCCCTGCCTGGGTCTCACAGTCCGACCGCTCCACCCGATGTTTTCGCTTTCTGTCCCTGTTTGCTCCCTCCCCGGCTCCCGGCTTGCGCTCAGGCGGCCGCCCAGCCCCGCCACGGCCGCTTCCTCAAGCCCCATCGCCTCCCCCCGGCCCGGGGGAATCCCTCGGGAGCCGCAAAACGAAGTTTCCCTCTCTCCCTTCCCCTTCGCGGCCCATCCTCCCCGCAGGCCCACCCCGGAGCCGCTGAGTCACCGCCTACGGGCAGCGCGAGCAAAACGGCCCGCCCGGCTGCCGGGCCCGCCGCCGCCTAGGCCTCCACCGGGGGCCGCGACCGCCGCTCGCCGCAGCTTTTCCCCGGCCCGGGCCCGGGCAGCGCTCACCCCGCTCACGGCGCGCCCATGGCAGCTGCCGGTCCGCTCAGCTGACCGCCGTCACGCACCGCCCCGCCTCCTCCGCGGGGATTTCCCGAGCTCCGCGCTTCCGCCCCGACCCGGGTGCTGTGGGGCCCCGGCTTAACCTGGCGCGATGGATGGCAGCCCTGCAGAAGGCTTGGAACCGGGTGATCTTTAAGGTATCTTCCAACGCTGCCATTCTATGATATCCGGTTCCAGCTCCTCTGCTGTAGGAAGGGATGCCTTCCTCTAAACCAGTCCCCTCAGTCCAGCGTCCCAGGGATGGATCATCCGCAGCTCCTCTGCGCAGCACTGCCAGTGCCTCACCGCCGTCTGAGTAAACAATTCCTGCCTGACCTCTAACCTAGTTCTCCCCTCTTTTAGTTTAAAGTCATCACCCTTTGTCCTATCACTATGCTATGATACTCTCATCTCTCTTTGAGGACCCTTTAGGTACTGGAATGGTGCTGTAAGTCCTCTGCAAAGTCTTCTCAAGGCTGAACAACCCCAGCCCTCTCAGCCTGTCTTCATAGGAGAGGTGCTTCAGTCCTCTATCGTCCTTGTGGCCCTCTGCACTTTGTACTCTCCAGCAGTCCATATCCTCCTTAGGCTGGGCCCCAAGAGCTGGATGTAGGACTGTATCAGCTGCACCACTCAGCTTGTTGTCTGCTAACTTGCAGAGGGTGATCTCAATCCCACTGTCCGTGGCACTGACAAAGATGTTAAACACTGCTGGTCCCAGATACTGTGCAGAGGAAGAATGCTAAGGACAGAGCATCTTGCTGAGCTCGATCCTGGGAATACAGAGGGACACAGGCTTCTCAGGGGACAGATCTTGTCTGCCTGAGGGCCTCCTGGGCATCCCTTTGGACACCGCTTCATGGAACTCCATATTTTTCCTGTCAGAGTGGAGACCTTGGAGGTGGCAGGGCAGCCAAATCCCACGCAACCAAAAACTATTTGATAAGAATCTCCAGCATGAGCAGAATCATAGAAAACTTAGCTTGGAAAAGTATCGTCATGTCTAAGCATCAACCTATCCTACAGAATCCCATCACTAAACTATGTCCCTTAGTGCTACATCCACACGTCCCTTAAATACCTTCAGGGATGGGAACTCACCACTTCCCTGGACACACCATTCCAATGCCTGACTACCCCATCTGTGAAGAAATTCATCCTGATAACCAATCTAAACCTCCCTCAGTGCAACATGAGATCATTTCCTTGCATCCCATCACCCCCTTTACAAGAAGATCTGGTAATGTGAGGCAGTGATAACTGCCCACAGTAACACACTGGGCTGGAATTATCACGGGGTGACTGTTCTTAGGGCCAACTATGGCGTTCTGATTCCTTCATTTTCAAAGCAGAAGGGCATTTTAGCTAAAATGTCAGCTTTCCATGTGGAAAATATCAGTCTTTCATTAAATTACTGCCTGGCTTGAGAACACATTCTTTTGATTTGAAAATGAATAGAATTTTGAATGAATAGAAACTGTAAACTAACTTAGGTTTAAGGAAGGCGTGCTCTCCTGTGGAGCGGTTTTTCCAGCTGCACTCCAAACACTGCATCCAGAAGCTTCCCAGTACAAGGGAGAAGAGGGTGATGGACAGCAGATGCTGCTAAGAAAGTGAATCCACTTACTTGTAGATACACCAAGATTTTCTGTGCTTGTGGGAGTGAGATCTTCAAATTACTGTTGTCTCCTGTCACTGTGCCCGTGGCTGTTATGTTAGATGAGAGTGTGTAATACTTAGAGGAGCAGTAAAGGTAGCTTCTGTGAGATCAAGGAGCAGAAATACTAGCAGCTCATTGTACTCTGAGTAAAATTCTTGTGAACTGGAGGACCTTACTCTATGTGAAGCAAAGGCAAAAGAAGAGCAACACAGATCCACTGAGTTTTACTTGACAAAGCAATACTATTTGATTATGCTTCTGACAGTTATGTGTTCCCACAGATGTGATTTTAGTACCAACAGTCCATTTTTGGGAACAGATCTTATGTAGAAAGCAAAATATCCAAGTTTTTGGGGAACAATTTATCATTTAGATTTGTGCTTCACCGCCAACCAGATCTGTATATTTTGCAGCTCTCTGAAGAGATCCAAATGCAAGAACATTTCTATTTGCATTTGTAAAATGAATGGGGGAATCTTGGGAATCAGAAGTGTTATATCTGATTTTAGTTGGAATGAAACACTTTGGTTTTTAAAAGTGAAAGAAAAATAAATGCTCTTTTAGATAAGGGAGGGAAATAACCAAATAAGCCTAGTGTAAAAATACAAGTAAAATAATAATTAAAAAAACCAAACAAATAAACACAAAACCTTTGATTTCTTTTTGTATAAATAAAAAAAAAGTGTTTATATCTAGGGAATGTTAAAGTGTATGCTTGAAACTCTGTTTCAGCACTCCAGCACACTGGACATAGTACTGAGAAAGCAATTGTTTGGGCCAACCTAGTTTATTCAGACCTTTTTTTCATTACAGTCTAATCACCATTTGCTTTGTGCATTCTGCCAGTTATGAGTAACATGGGCTGTGTCTGCCCAGTGAAGAAGGAAACTCCTGCTCTGAGTCTTCCCATGATGTCCTGATCTGCTGGGCTGAGTTACAAATAGCTCATCTATTTCTGCCTGTGCTGCTAGAGGGTAAATATTAGCAGGCACTGCTTACAGATGTGTAAAATTGTCAGTCTTTTCCCAAAAAATTTGAGAAAATAGGCACTGGTCAGCTCCAGGTCTGAAGGCTCATATTCAGCCAAGTTACTTAAGAAATTCCCTTGTGGCAGCTGAGCCATGGAAATGCTCTTTTGTGTATTAGAAAATGTGAGATAACACAGCCTAGCTTAGTCTGAAAAGACAGAGGATTGTGCTGCATTATTTTCACATTACCCTGGGCTTGGATGCTGTTTTTGTAGTCGTCCAGGAGCTGAACCCTGAGAATCTAACAAAGCTGGGACAAAGGCTTGAACTCCAGAAAGCTCAGATAGGAAGAACATCTTTGTGCACTTCTGTGTATATACACAGAGTGCTGAAGTCTTATCTGTCTGTGTCTGCTTTATGTTATGTGGAACTCATTCTGCCTCTGACTCTCTTATGTTGCCTCTGCTCTTCCTGTTTTTCCAGTCTGTGTTGCCTTCTTGCTTCTAACTGGTGCTGTGGTAGCTGCTGGAAACTCCTGATTTTGGCCAGGATCCCATAGATACTGTACAGACAGCTCAAAGACTTACTACTCTTTTAGTACACAGTATGTGCTACATCAGTCTGGCTTCCTCTGAAGAGCTTGGGCTTCTAAAGAGCTTTGTTTTATTCTATCTACAGAGGGTCTGTGGAAGGACCACTACCTTTGATTAATATCTGGGCTTCTCGCCAAAGTAAACGTTAGAGAGGTTGCTGTGCCGTCAGATTTGCTGATTAAGGTTAATTTCCAATTGGCAGGTAATTTGAAAACACCATGAAGATACGTTCTTCATAGGTGTGTGGGGGAGAAGGGACGTTGTGAAGTGCATCCAACTTCTGTAGTCAGCAGTACTGCATGATGAATGTCACCATAACCTAGGGAGAAGTGGGATGATGAAGTGCTTTCTTTTATTACAACAATTAAGGCCTACCATGGCCTGGAGATGGCTCACACCCAACTGGTAAAATTTATATTAACAGGTATCAGACCTCATATGATGATCTACAGTAGAGCAGCTACAAAGAACATGAAATTCAAATGTATGAACTGAATGTTTATCTGCCATGAACAGATGGCACGGTATATTCAGTCCCAGATCTCATGGATTACCAGTCCAGTATTGAACTGATTCCTATTAATGCTATTACTACCTTGAAAGAGAGAAATATCAAATACTGAGCACAGGGAGCCAAGACAGAAATAAAACTGTGGGGAAAAATGACCCAAAGTCACGTTTTTAGCCTGACAAACCTGTCGCAGGCAGGGATCCCTATAGGGTATATGGAGCAAATGGTAATGACAAAGAATGTGTCTAATTGATCACTTCTGGCTCATTCTGCACAGTTGAATTCACAGTGTGTTATGTACCTCTTTTCCTCCCACATACAGCTGAATGGATGACTCCTTTTACAACTGCAATTATATAACACTTCCATGCAATGACACAGAAGAGAAAAAACAGTGCCTCTAGTGCAGCTTTTAGATGATCTAATTCTGAGCTTGCTGGTACGTATAAAAATTGTAATGTAACAGTTTTCCTTTTCAGCTTTCTCCCCTGCCCTGAAAGGAGTTGGGATTTAATTATGCGAGGTTGCTGGAATTCCTCACCATCAGCTCTTCCATGATGGAAGGTTCATTCCAACTCATTCTGTCACCATTCAAAAAAAAAAAAAAAAGAAAAGATAAAAAGTAATTTTTTTTCTAATAAATGTAGTGATTGAAGTAAAACTGCCCTAGAAGTCCCCATTTATTCTCAATGCATCAACAACACCCCATACAATGCCCTTCAAGTACAAGGTTCTGCTGCCTGAAATCGGATGTCTTATATGCCTAAGCCATCCTTTTTTTCTTTTTTTTTGGCTGAGAAGAATAGCAAAATGCTTACCACAGATCACAACCACGGGGTAACTACAAGATAACCAGGATGTGGTGGGCCAACAAAAGGGCCAACCGTATCCTGGGGTGCACCAGGCCCAGCACTGCCACTGATCGAGGGGAGGGACTGTTCTGCTCTGCGCTGCGCGGCCTCACCTCCAACTCTGAGTGCAGTTTTAGACACCGCAGCGTAAAAAAGACATGAAACTATTAGAGAGCATCCAGGGACAGTGGGCACAGCCCTGAGCTGCCAGGGTTCAAGGAGTGTTTGGGCAATGCTCTTAGACACAGGGTTTGAATTCTAGGTGGTCCTATGTCATGAGTATCCAACCTCTTGGCTTGTCTGGGCCACACAGAGTGAAAAGGGTGTCTTGGGCGGCACATATGTAGGTTGCTCTGAAAGTAATTCCTCCTATTTGTTCCATGGAAACTACAACCACTGAGAAGAGCATAACACTATTTAATAGAGCAAATTCTCAGCTACAAAACACTTTTTAAAATATCATCAGCACCATTTTTGTCAGCGGTGAACAAGAGCCTGCATGCCGTGCTCCTAAACATCCGCACCAGAGGAGGCAATCCACTGTTGCTGTAACCAGTGCTGAAACACACCAGCCACTGCCTCACTGTGCTCACATCGACTGTTTGATCTCCATAAATGTTCAGCAAGCACTGATGAACGTCAACAGCTGTCATTTTTTTCCATGTGGAGGAATTCAGTGACACTCCTTTGCTCTATCCACGCTTCCATTTTGTCACTCTGCCCCTCTGCTGCCATCTGTCACACGGCAACAAAACAACAGAATATTGGTGGGGAGGTTCTGTCTCTACTGCCCTATCACCAACACCCAGCTCTGACATAGTGAGCCAACATAATAAAACAGGAGGTACCACCTTCGCAGCAGCCCTTGTAAAATGCGTAATATAGTTTATGTGTTTAAATCAGAAATGTTCTGACTCATCCTGGAATATCTGACAGCACTACAGGATCCTTGACCTAAGGATCTTCTTTCTTGACCACGCAACAGATACTAACTCAGGCAGCAGTAAATGTCAGGCATCATCTACTATGCCAGCAAGTGCGGCTGCTTTTTGCCCTTATACCCTTAAGTATAGAGTGGGAAGTAGAAAAATAAAAGGATAAACGCGCAGAAAGGACAGCCGAATTGCCAACTGTCCTTGTTTTCTCTTTCCAATAGGTGGCACCAATTCTCTTTCCAGATCATCATCAACTGAATAGGTCAGGAGCTCCGGAATACCGTACGTGTTTAAAAACACGGGCATCTTTGCCCTTTTCTTTTGCTGTATCTGAGTGTGAAATTTGGACCAAGTAGGCAGCAGACTGAGAAAATATCTGAAGCCCTTTGGAATGTGCTGCTGCTACTGCCAAGAACAGTCATGCCAGGAAAACACAGGCAAATCAAGAGCAAACGTGACCAAGTGCTAGAAGCAGGGAGAGAGCTTCGCTTTTGACTAAGGATGGTCAAAAGTAAAAGTGGGACTATTTTAGGGAGTTACTGAGTGGAAATTGGAGAATCGTGGTAAGAGGAAACTGAAAAGGGGGGTTCCAGGCTAAATGGAGCTTTCGTGAACAGGCAAAGAGGGATGACTGAGCTTGCTGAGAGAGAACTCTAAGAAGAAATCATGCCAGAATGAGGCCAAGGAAAACTGTATTCTAAAAGTACAGTGACAAAGTGAAATAGCAGAAAATCTCTTGCAAATAACCCTAATACAACCCTGTCTTTATCCTGAAATGCTTTCTTGTTCATCACTAGAAGAGAACAGTGTCTGTAGCTCCATACCACTGTACAGCCCACAGGGGGAGGTGACCCATGCTCCCATCATTCATTTTAGAATACAGAACCATGTTGCAAAGAGATGGTCAAAACAGCAGTGTTCAGAAGCATGGCATGATTTAAAAGGCAGAACTCTCAAATAAAGCCTGGTGGCATATGTGTTTTAACAAGTTCTTCATAAATCTTACCATCTAAATCCTTTTGAAAATCCAATTCTGATATTTTTAGTTGGAAACATTCTTTGTTTTCACCTCAAATGGCTTGCTGTGACATTTGGTTGAAGGTCTCAGTGTGACTCCACAAGCTGCTCTCTTACTAGGTCTGGAAATGCCACTTTTGTTGTGCATTCACAACTATTTCCCCTTCTAGACAATCTGAGGAGGGAAGAATTGCTATCATAGTGAATTGTGCTGCATGGGCATTTTTGACAGGATGTGGCAAAGACCACATCAGGTGTTACAAACCACCAAAAGAACAATTATAGTCGTGTTTTGAAAGTTGTGACAGTACAGAGTTTGCCCTAAAGACAGATGACACCCATGATAGGAGCCAGGTGTTTGGTTTTCGTTTTTCTGGAGCATGTTTGAGTTCTGGGAGTTGTGGGCCCCTCATAGTACTCCAGAGAGCTGTGCACCAGACTAGGGCCATATCCTCCTCTTGGTCTTGTGGCTGCTGCTGAATAGAAATGAAGATTGCAAACACATCTCCCGAATTGTGGTATCTCACTAATCACTGTGTGAACCTTGTGTTGTAGTCTGGAATTATTTCTGCGATGGCTGAAGGAACACCACAGCGTATTCGAGAATGCACCTGCTGCAAGGAGGCATGGACTGATGAGTTTCCAGCCATATTCATCTTTTTTTTTTTTTTTTTTTCCTTGACCAAGTGACAAGAATATTGTGAAGAATTTGGTTTGCAAGAGAAAGAAGAGAAGGTGAATTCCGAGGCTATTCAAGGCTGTGAAGAGACTTCAAATGTTGGCAGATAACTGCTTTTCAGACAGGTGAGGGCGCTCAGCCCTTTTTAAAAGAAGTTGGTGTGAGTCTTGAGACACAGCGCTGAAATACACTTGTGATTGGACCAATGCTGTGCTGCTACTGAACAAAGACTGAGTAGGGGGTTAGGCTCTAACACTGCTAACAACTGAAAAATAAAAGGCCCAGAGCTGCTTAAATAGCTGCTGATGTGCTTCAGCACAAGCACGAATTAAATGCCTTAATTTTAATGGTAACTTGAAAGAAGACTGATCACAGATTTCCCCGTATGGAGCAGCGCGGTTTTATTTATTTATTACAATTTCAAGTATCTCCATAAAAGTAAACCTGGAGGAAGATGTTAGGATAACATACCTGGATATTTATATTCAGTGTGAGACTTTCATCTCACACTTCCCTCTTACAGTGGTTCCATCCTTGCCTTTGTGATCTGCCTCTTGGCATGAGACCCCTAAGCCAATGCCATCCTCTATAGCTGCTCCAAATTTCCCAGCAAAAGGACCTCTGTTGCACTGGGCTCTGTGTGGTGGGGGACATCTGTCCACTTCTGGAAACAAACACACCCAGATCATATTACTGTATTGTTTTTAGGTAATTTAGATCTGGTTTATATTACCCTGTTTTCTCTGGCTTCACATTTATCTTCAATTGGTTGCTGTAGCTCACCCTAAAACCCCCCTGTGATTTTTGTTTATTCACCATTCTTCATTAGCAAATGCTTAGACTTCAGTTCTTGTAAAGCTCCTTAGGACATGAAGCAGTGCTTCTGAGTTGTTAACCATTATTATTACCAGTAGTGGCATAAATAAAAATAGAATCATAGACTCACTCAGGTTGGAAAATACCTTAAAGATCATTGAGTCCAACCACAACCTAACCGTATTACCCTAACAACCCACCACTAAATCATGTCCCTGAGCACCACATCCAAACGGTTTTTAAACACATCCAGGGGTGGTGACTCAACCGCCTCCCTGGGGACCCTATTCCAATGCTTAACAACCCTTTCTGTAAAGAAGCGTTTCCTGATATCCAACCTAATGAATGTATTCTGCTGAAGTACACTTATTACATACACTTATTTTTATTTACCAAATCATGGAATTGTAGGGGTTGGAAGGGATCTCTAGAAATCATCAAGTCAACCCCCATTTACTAAAGCAGGTCCCTTATAGCAGCTCGCCCAGGCAGGTCTTGAATATCTCCAGAGGGAGAGACTCCACAACCTCTCTGGGCAGCCTGTTCCAGTGCTCCATTAATCTGACAGTGAATGAGTTCTGCCTTGTGTAGTATGGAACTTCTTGTGTTCCAGTTTCTGGTGTCAATTTAAGTCATTACCGGTATGAAAATCTTGCCAGTTGGATATCTCATGTCCTCAAGATGAAATATTAATCTAGTTATCATGGCCATGATTTCTATATTTGTTTTATCTCTAAAGGTTCACCTTGTTTTGGGGAATTAACAATTATTATGTCTATCTATTGCTATGTCTCCCACCCATGGAGATCCACAGAGACTCTGCTTTTCAGATACTGGTAATTAAATAAAACAACTATTGACTGCAGTTCTTGTTGACACTGGGCATCTAGCTCTTCTCTCTTACGTATATGTGTGCACAGCAAGTTCCCTCATGCAGAAATAAATTGCTTAATTGAGAGTTTGCATATGAGAAGGTGGCTGTAACAGTGCTTCCTAACTTGAGCTGTGAAAGCCTCGTGGGCAGCACTACTGAAGCTCATCTGCTTCATTCTGTTCCAGTATCTGTGGCCCTATGTTGCTGTGTCATGGAAAACAAATATCTTCATCTCTTTGGCTGGTGAGATGGATCCTACCAGGCAGCCAGGCTTCACCTGGCATGGGGAGAGGACAGTACTACGTGGGGGTATACTTCAGTATCTCACCAGTGTGACCATGATGACTGGGAGATGTTTGAGTAAAAGACAGAAACATTTCTTCTCCTCTTCCTGCCTTCCTGACTCCTTCTGCAACTCTGATATTCACTTTTCAACTTGGACCAGATCAAAGTGGGGTTAATGGCTGGAAGCTCTGTAATCAGACATCCTCAGCCGCTCCTTGGGAGCTAGACTGTTCTTCCTGAATCAGGCAACATTAATGGAAAGCCAGGGAGGGGATGGGTGCTGCAGACAGCCCCCACTGTAAATCCATGCTGCCTTCAAAGCAAGAGCAAGTCAAGGAACAAAACAGATGAGGGAGCAGTCTTTATAATGGTTTACAAGTTGATCAATTATTATAATTGCTGCAATAAACTAGCCACAGACATGAGAACAAGCTGATGTTAGAGAAAGCGTGCTGCAAAAAATGTGTTTCTAGACATGCTGAGTTCTGTGAAGACAAAGAAACAACCCATTACAGATTCTTTAAGCCATAGGTTGCAACCCATAGATTGTAACCTTCAAGTGGAAGCTCACTTTATACATCTTATTTTTTCCCCCTTCTTCACTTGCTTGTTTCCCTTTTTGTAATAAGAATAAGAATAATTGTTTTATTTGTGTAGATTATTGGTGAATAGGAAGTACAGGGGTTAAACACATGTGGTCATTTCCATTTGCTAAACTCCCCCCAGGTGGACAGTTGCACAGTTTTTGATGGAGAGTTGAACAAGACCCCAAGCAGCTTCTTTGCAGTTGTCTCTATGGTACTCCCTGTATCACTTGCAGCCATCTCTTAATCTCTTTCCTTTGTCCTGATTCTTCTGCTGGCTCCTTTCTCAAGCGGGAGAAGGGGCACCTGGCCTCAGTCTGCGTGCTGCAAAGAGAGAAGTCAAACTTGTCTCTGTATTACATCGTGTCTTACATCTGTTAGAGGAGGGTTATTTATGCAAGAGATTCTGAAGGAAGTGTTAGAACAAACCTCTTTAAAAGCCCCAGTAGTTCCTCCTCCAGGCTGAAGCTGGGTGCTGGAGTCCCAGCTGGACACCACGGTTTTGGCAGCAGAAATGCATCGCAGAGCACAGATCCCCTTCTGAAGGCTGCTGTGTAGTCCTGGAGGAATTTTGTATAGGATGTGTATAGCTTAGGGCTGAGGCACGGGAAGCTCATGAGAGTAAACTTAAGAGACATTTTCTCTGCTTTGTTCTTTGAAAGCAAGGGGTCAGCTAAGGTTCTGGGCAGCCTGAAACTGCAGCCAGTAAAATACGCTCTGGGACTGAATGAGGAAGATTGCTTTTGAGAGTGAGAGCTGGGCTGATGTATCACTTTAATTTTGTAACTAATTTTTTTCTGCAAGCACTTCGGTGTGATATCTATACACCAAACCTGCAGGACTTCCTAGGTTACAGCCAGCTCTCATAAATGTATCATTTTCCTGGAGCTGTTGCCTCAGAACACCTCATCCTTGAATCCAAGACATGGAGAAGAATATACTGAGTGAAAACAACTGAACGAATCTGAGAAGAAGAAAACATCTTCCCCTTTCCACCGATGAATGTAATTCTTAGGCCCCTTGGTTTACACATGACCTAACTTCTCTGGAAGCTTTTTTTTCCTTGTTCTTTTGCTTTTCACTTTCATTTTTCAGCAGCTGTTTGCCACTAAGCTCAGAGAGTCAAAATCAATAGTGATCTAACATTAATAATTGAGCAAAGCAGGCGGCCAGATGACTAAACTTGGTCTCATTGAAATCAGAGCAGTTACTTCCTTGCTTGAGCTAACTTATCTGAGAATTGGGTACAGACAGAGGTGGTAAATGGAATAAAAACACTAACATCTAAAAAGCCAATCAGCCTGCTAATTCCTGTGCTGTATTATCGTAGTTCTCAGTGGAAGAGTGGCAGAAATGAGCAAAGATTGCTCGCTTGAATCATATCAGGATCAGGTATCAGGATGCAATCAGGCAGAATGGTCTGAAAACACCTTTAGTCTGTAGGAATGATCTCCCCAGGGGCTTAAACATTATTTTCATGTTTCATCCTAAAGCTTAAATGATGCGTTCATTGAGAGCTGATAACGTAAAGTACATGAGGAAGAAAAGATCCTAACGAATAATAGTTTTTAACTTGGGGAGTGAAAAAAAAAAAAAAGGCAATAAACACCTCTGGCAAATGACAAATGCACGGCGGGAGGCATTTCTGAAAGGCATTTTCGTGCAGTGCAGGGTGAGAACACAACCAAGATGCAGGGCTTCACAGCACTGCCTTGCTGAATGCTAACATCCCTGGAGGAGATCACAATAAGCTTCTAACAACCGTGGTAAAATTGCACAGTGCTAAAGGGAGAGGGTCTCTCAGGCATCACAGTAAACCATCGGTAGGGGTGTGGTAGGAGGACATGTCAGATTGCCGTACCAGCCTAGTGGGTTCTCACTGAATCATCTGAGTTGGAGGGGACCCTCAGAGGTCGTTTAGTCCAACTCCCTTGCAAGGAAGAGGAACATCTGCAGCTAGATGTCCCTATTTTGCAGTTTACAAACAGAAATTGCCTTCATGGTGTCCTCTTTGAAAGCAATTGCTTTGGGAATACAGATGAAGCACACTTATAAATACTGAGAACAGGCAGCTTCTCTGAGGTTTGTGTTGTTCTAAAGGAGTGGACTACCTATGAACTTGTAAAGGTGTAAGTCATATCGGAGACATTAGGATATAGCAGGTAAAGAAAGCCACTGAGAATTGATGCCAGGATCTATGAGACACACAGCAGCATCACTGTAGAGCCAAGAGACAGAGAACAAAACGTAAATATTTTGTATCTTTCATGGGATCTCCAGGGATCCTCTTGCAGAGCATCCAGGAAAAGTGTTCTGAATCCTAAGCAGAGCAATAAGGCAGACAGCTTGAATAAGGGTGTTCATATATTGCTGAGCGATGGGACATCCATCAGGACAGCATCCTGGGAAGAAGCTGAAGCCTCATCATGTCCGGGCTTTTGTGTACCATATTGAGGGCAAGCCACGTGCTGCAATGAAGCAGTTATCCCATGGAGAATTATATGTAATTTCTACAAGAAATATTTGCCATGAGGTATAAGAATCAAGAACACTTTCCATGCTGATGCGTGTCCCACTGCTGTGTATCAAATCTTCCTTTTTAAGGGGACAACAGAGGCTGCAGTTGTGGGCCCAGTTTGTGGACTGGCTGAAGCCATAATGGTTTCTGAGAAGCCCAGACAGTGCAGCCTTTTGGCAGGATGGAGTTTGCAGCCCTTCTCTCAAACAGCAAAGATCAAAGCCTTTCATTGCATTGCTTGCCATGTCTTCTTGTTATTATTTCTTTTCAATGGCCTACAGCACAACAGAAACTGCAGCACAAAGGGATCGTGATTTCCAGAAGCAAACAAATCCAGAGCTGATTAGGCAGGGCCCATCCATATCTCCTCTCCTTTTCCTTGCTGGTTTTCTGTGCAGCAGCTGGCAGTGTGTGCAAATCCAGGAAAAGCCTTGCAGAGCCAAGGGAAACCCAAGAGGCAATTAATTCATCTTGAAACTGCACAGTCCTAAACTGTCACTGGTGACCTGGACTTCCTACACAGAGCTTGGGTCATTGTGCTGCCGACATGCCATCAGAGCTGACTTTTTATGAATGATTTTTTTGCAGTGAGCAAGAGTTTATTGAACATACCTTTAAATATGTCAGTGAAGTAGAGATCGTGTAGCTCTCCTCTGCAGCAGGCACTGTTAGCCTCATGACTCTGCCCATTGCCCTTGGGAGTCAGTGTGGCTCTACTTGAGGAAAAGAAGCTCCAACTATGAAGTCCATTTTCTAAAGAGCTATCGATGAGAGCCAGGAGGACAGGAAGAAAGAAGGGAAGAGGCTTGTCTGTTCCTACAAAGGTTGCAAAGAGGAATTCCTACCTGAGCAGAGTGTGTCGTCTCAGGGAGTTCCCCTGGCCTTCTTTACAAAGCTCTGAGTGCTCTACCATGATCTGTGAGGCATTTCTTTGGTTTGGCTTTTCTTTGACTTTTTTTTTTTTTAAAGCTCTTGTCTGTTTTGTTTCTGAAAGAATGACATCCTGGCCCCTAACCTTTCTGGAGGCAACACACATATTCCTTACAGTGCTGCGTTACCAAGACAAAAAATGTTCCTCATAATTAAACATGATTTGATCATTCCAGCATTTTCACGTCTTCCCAGAAGTTTTATTATCATAATTAAATTCTCTGGCACCTACTCACAACTCCAGGCATTTTCCTGAACCTTTCAACACACAGTTAGCAGTTCTGAACCTTTCACTGCTGTATTTCTTTTCCTATAATTATTTGATAGTTATAAATTCTTTGTTAGTAGTCTTTCCTATAGAAAACCAGATGAGCTTTTTTCATGTAGTCTCTATGACTGTTATTGTGAAATCCCAGGATCTCTGCTCTATCTGTGATCAAAGAAAATGATGTTATCTCTATATTACAAACGGGAACCTGGGATATAATGAGACAAAGTCATATGTTTACTTATTTATTCTTTGGTATCCTGTCCAGAGTGCCACAGGAAGACAGTGGCAGAGAAAGGCATTGCACCCCAGTGTCACAAATCCAACTCCCAACCTGCTGGGTCAGCTTTATTTTACTGTCCTTTGCATTTTTT